TAAAAAAATTTAATTTAAAATCATAAATAAGATTACTTGTGTACATAAACTTCAATAAAATTATTCTTTAATATATTTATCTTAGACATTATTCACATTTAAATATATTTGTATACATTGTTACAGATTAGTATTGTACAGAGATACTACAATTCTGCTATTGCGTATCGTGTGTGAGTGCGACCTAATAAGAATCCGATAACTTGAGGAGGTAAAGGAAGAAATTTGAAAGTCTGAAAACAGGAAGAGACACAGGAGAGGCATCAGTTGTCGGTGAAGCAACTTTGCGGTAAGCATCATAGTTTACTTACAATAAAATTAACCTCTTTTTCCTGTTTATTCAGATTATTCTATTTCGATTTCAAAATAATAATTAGAAGAAACAATTAATCTGAAACACTGAAAAAGTTAATTTTTATGAAGATATTTTTTGAACAGTGGACAACCATTTTAATAGATATTTAATTGAAAAGTGATTTAAAAATTCTGTGCGCGTAAAAAGTATCTTTTAAATCATTGATTATTTTGAGCATTATTTAAATTTGTAATTCATGTTTATATGTTACAGAATCATCATAGCTATGTATGACTGATACTTATGCATCGTTCGGTGAGTGATAAATTTTATTAATGAGGTAATGAATTTTGAAAATGTTTGTGTCAGACATACGTTTATATATTGATATTCTTACAATTATACTACAAGTGAATATGGCATAATGAATCTATGAGCAAATCTTCATGGATTCATTATGCCTTAAAATGAAAAAATTATAAAACATTGTGACAGATATTTAATCTTGGATTTCTTTTTATTATTTGTGACTTCGATACGGAAAAAATTTGCGTAAAAATTTTGCTGAAATATCTAGAAATTTAGATGGATACAATTTGAAAATAATTTTGTTGAACTATCAAAATAATTATATAGGAAATTTAAACATAATGTAGTCTGTAAAAGAGCAAAGGTATACAAAATTTTGATATTTTAACAACTAGCTTGAGCATCCTTTTATTTATTTAGCTTAATTTTTAGATATTTCATCAACCGTTCTTTCTGAGTATGCTATTATGTTTGAAACTCGTACAGATACGAAAATAAATTAAAAAAAAACAGGAAATAGCATTTATTAATATTTATTCTCTAGAAGTAATTTTAATATAAAATAAAGATTTGAAATTAAACTTTATTGTTATAGAGAACTATTATTCATTTCGAATATAATAAAAATCAAAAAATGTTTAAATAAAAAGTTACTCAAGTAAATTTTTTCCTTTTCTGTGGAAATATAGAAAGCAAAAAAGCAAAACAAATTAATAACATAAAATTAGAACATAATAAAAAAATATATTAATATTTTATAAATACATATATGGAAATATTAAAACAATTAGATTTTTGTTAAATTAAAGTTATTGAAGTAAATAAAAAATAAGAAAGAAATAATTAAAGTAAATTACAAAATCATAAAACAAAATATTGAAACTTTATAAATGTAAAGTTTTTCTAAAGATTTTTTGATAAACGTATGCAATATGTAAAATAAAAATAAATAATTATATTTTTTGCTAGGAAAAAATTGATTAAATTAGATAGGAATATTTTTCTTTCTCCTAATCCCCCTTTTTAATACTTCTCCAAGATTAAATATTTTATAAAGTAGTGCAAAATAACAATATATATAACATATACATAATATACATATATTTGTATATTTATATTTTCTAATTATTATGTGAAATATAAATACTTCCTTAAATAATAAAAATAGAAATATTACAATTAAATTATTTTAATTAATTTAAGTGTAATGTGTTTGAGTTATTATATATGCATGTAAATGCGTTGTTACATATGAATATAAATAGATAATTTTAACTTTTATAGAGCGCCAATTTTAATACAATGTTTTGTAGTTTATTCAGATTTTTGGCAAATTGATTTTACAAACAAAATAAAATAATGTGACTTGAGATCCTAGAAATATTTACATAACAGAAATTTTTTTAATTATTATAATGTTGATATTAAAATTTTCTTATAAAAAAACAGATATTTGATATTTATAATTAATGTATACTTTTAAAAGATATTGATGCAAATAATTTTCAAGACATATAAATAAATAATAATATAATATAGAAATATGTACATGGAAAAACACAGCTATAAGCGTTGGTATATTACGTGATAAAATGCACACAATATATAAATATTTTATAATTATTACTGAAATTTAGTGTATCTTAGATTGCATTGTCGTTATTTTTTATTTGATATGCGATTAAAAAAGATACCATTAGAGAGATTTTCGGGTATCGACGGAAATTAAATTGAATAAATTAGAAAAAAAATTATTAATACATATATTATAGATTTATTTTATCATAGAAAAAAAGAAAAAAATTTTTTTCAAGTCTACTATAATGCTCACACTGCTTTGAGTACGCATTACTTTTAAAATTTGTTCACTTGCTCACATTACTGAGTACGGAAGATAGCTGTGCTAAGATTCTGCTAAGTAATTTTAGAGTAGACAATTAGATGTAATCAGACACACTTATTCACGAATTCAGCTTATTAGATGATTTGACAATACAAATAAAAAAATACGCATTTATATTACGAAAAACCAATAAATATTCGTAGAAGAAGAGAAGAAATGGCAATATAAAAACGAAAAGAGGAAAAATGAGTTGCAAAAAAATAATAATGAGCACACATTATTTTATTAATAAACATATTCCATATTGCATAATACTCGTTGTCGAAATGTTATGCAATATAGAATATGTAAAATAATGAATAGATTCTTTTCTTTTCGATTATCAAATCAGATATATCCGATGTAATGCCTATTCAATTCAAGATAAATATAAATAGGTTTTTTGCATTGATGAATATATTCATACAAAATATTTCTATTCGATATCGATAGCTTAGCACACATTCAATGTACCTTCGAAAGGATTCTCTTAATTTCTATTACAAACATTTCTTCTTTTATTTCCTTTTTTTTGTAATACTCCTTTCATCACAGATCTCGTAATCTGTTTTATGCGAAAGATTTCAATGATTTCTCATAAATTATTTCATATCTTTGTTACAGTTTTTTTTAATCTAAACACAGAAAAACAGTAAACATATACATAACAACAATTGCTATAATTTCACAGTTAATATAGGCTATAACGAAATAATTTGGACAAGTTAATGGAAATTTGGAAATTGTGTAAAAGATTGATATCACAGACTATATTTAATTATTCACACAAAACAGATACTATTGCATCAAAAGTGCATGATCCGCATATTCGTCTGAATACACTATGCAATCTCAATTATACTATATATCTCTTTTATACAATTTTAAAATTTTTGTTACTTTATCCAAATTATCACGCTGTAAACTAATTATTACGTAAATGTGTTACACTGTTATATCACAATATTAAGTATTATGACATATTAAAGTATCATTAATTAGTATACTGACAAGTGTATACTGACAATATGACTAATCATAAATTTAACTTTTTGATGCGTTGCGGTGAAAAGAAGCAGGGAGTTACGTTCGAATAAATAAATTAAAGTTTAAATTAAATTTAAAATAAGAACTCAATTATTTAAGCATGTTGAAAGGACCATTGTTAAATACACTTTCAGACAGTCCTTTTTGAATCTCCTTTTTGTAGCATTCTCAACTCTTTCAATATCTTATTCCTTTCGTAAATTTTCTTTAATTTTTTGTATCATTTAACATTTCTATTGCAGCTTCCTCATGGCACGTGCAATAAACGGTGCGTTTCTTCAGAAACATTTCCGGATTTTACTCGAAATTTGTATAAATTCGGGATGCGGTCCGGGTAGTAAGATCGTTGCAATACGTGCCCAATTCTCGCCACATTTACCGGTCTGTCGAGCTCGTCTCGTAAGACTAGCGTCTAGGAAGCCGATAAGCCGAATTAACCACAATTTTTGCACGAGGGATGCGGGCATCACCGCCCCAGAAAGTGGGTTGCCTCGCGTCGCGTCTACCAGCCATGTGATTTATGCACTTGTTGTGACACATTATTGTGGATTCTCAGTATTGTGGTTATGAAAGCCTCGTCGACGTTAGACGCGCGTTAAACGTGATACGAGAAGCAGGTCGTATTCGCAACGATCTCACTGTTGGTCCCGCATCCCCCGCGTCGAACGTAGCAAATCACCACTTCGCGCAATCCGTATCGTTTCTTGCATGTGCCATGAGGATGCAGCAACCGAGATATGAAAAGATTCTTGAAACATTAAGATTTTTGTGAAGAGAGATTGAGGTATGTGACGCGTAGCCTTTATTGTAGAAAAAAAATTAAACGGAAAAATATAGAAGAAATATCAGGGGTAGAGTTCTGACGCGTTAGGAAAAAGGAGGAAGAATAACGTTAAAATATATATAAATGATAAATATTAGCGTAAGCTAATCGCTACTTTGTTTGTCGCTCAATCCGCATTTTTTTTTTGCATGTGCCACGAAAGAACTGCAGCAAAGACAAATAATTTGCAACAAGTTGATAATATTTTGAAATGCGATATTAGAGGTTTATTGGAAAATTAGGATCGTAGAATTTTTTAGATCGGTTAAATGGTAACCAGTTTTTTATAATAATTTTTTGTCTTTGAAAGTATTTATGATCGCCGTCATTAGTTGAAGTCATTGCTACTGAGAAACTGGATTTAACATCAAGATTTGGTTTAAATTTTATGTTTTCAATAGAAACTTTTGATTTTCAGCGATGTAATAATGAAACGATCCATTATGAAATTGTTATTACTACGTTTTTTTATTTATATTTTTTTAAGATTTAAAAAATTATAATTTTTGTATTACTATTAAATTCTTTTTTCATTCTATTTAAATTTGTTTACTTACAATTTGTTTTTGTATTGCCATTTCTTTGTCTATAGTTTCTTTTATGTTCCTTCTTTATAATCGATTAATTAGTTTATTAATTTTTCATTGCAGTTGAATTATTTACAGCTTCTAAACTTTGTTACCACATACGTGCACGCACACATAGTAATTAATAGTAAATGGATTTGAACATATAGATATGTATATATACAATCACACTTAAAATTGTGTCAGTGAATATTATTTATTTATGTACCACCTCCATGCCGTTATATTCTAATAGGTATAAAATTTAAATGATTTTTTTTCTTTCTTGTTCTTAAATATGATTAAAAAATTGTTTGGAAATTT